CGCTCGGATAGTGCCGGCTCTGCATGAGCCGACAGGGGAGATCCTGAGATCTCCCCTGCCGGTCTCAATATACATAGGCGTGCCGCGGGGATTAGGGTGTGCCCAGGCACACCCGGCACACCCTGTGTGCACGCATATGCATGTACTTAAATAGAAGAGATATCATTCTAATATAAGAAGTATTGATCGTTTGCTTGTTACTCTCCTGGGACAGTCCCAGCAACTTGCTGGGCCATGTGCTTTTATTATGTTCCCTCGGACTGTTAGAGTCCGAGGGAATCCAGGAGAGAGGTGCTGGGAGGCTGAAGAGAGATACTGGGGGCTACATTTTCAGATAATTCCTAGTTACCAACATCTGAAAAACATTTCCAGGGACACTATGCTGCACAGCTATCAATAACTACTTTGAAAATGTGCCACACCCACTGCCGCAAAGCTCCGCCCACTATGTCCAACCCACATAATTAATATCCGCCTACTTATAGTGCAGATTACAGGGTCTTCTAAATAAAGAGAGAATTACAGAGAATTGAAATGGTAATTTTAAATTTAAGGCCAAAGTAGCCGAGTTGGAAAAATTCTCCCATTCAGCTTAACTATGTCGATAGCATTATGGTCGAGGTAAGTGCCTTGAGAGAGCGCCAAATCCGCAAATTAGAGCATCTTTGCAATAGGGCCGAGCAAGTCTAGTAGTTTATCTTGCGCAGCCTTCAGACCTTTCTCAATGCCCTTGCAATGGTTCCATCCAGAGCGGGACATAAAGACCACAATCGTGGTGTCGAATTCAGGGGTAACGGCCACCTTGTCCAGCAGGAGTGGTCTTGGATATTCGGCTTTGAGGCATGCATGACCCTCTTTCTCTAAAGTAAATTATAAATATACAAACACGATGAAAGAGAATCCAACACCGAGTCCATAATGGTTGTAGGGTAATTAGGGCATAACCCAACATAGACATCAATAAGAAGATTTGTACAGACTGGTGGGAAACAAGTCCAATACCAATCCTATTACCCTTATTAAAGTAATAGTCCAACATTGGAATGAGAAAGCCTTAAACATGTAGAATTCACAACTTTATTAAATCCCTATAAGGATGAAACAAAACACACACACAAAAAAACAGTGCCAGAAAAATGGGATAAAGTGAAAAAATAGAAAATAAATAAAGTTGGACAAGCAGTTGGATCCTGTATAGATAGTTAGAATGATCTCCCAGCTTAGAAATAGACTAGAAAGCAGGTGAACGTAACCTGATACTATGTTGAAAAAATGCATACGCTTTGAAAACTTCCAGCTAAGTCTTATGAGCTGCTGGGGGCTAGGAAAGTCTGATATAGTATCTAATACATAACAATAAATGTAGATAAAGAATGGCAGACTGATCCTACGGCAGTGTAATGGATCATAGGCAGAAATTGTTGAGTTAAGAAGGCTCTGTATGGTGTTAGCCAGTGACTGTCTTATTAATCAGCTTAACTAATCATTAAGGAACAATAGAAAGAAAAGGAAATTGGAACAGGCCCGGACTGGCCATCGGGCACACCGGGCAAATGCCGGTGGGCCGCGGTGGCCATGGGCCGAGGCCGGCAGGGGAGATCCCGCTGTTTTTCATGAAGGGCCGGTGGGGAGGTCAAAGATCTCCCTCACCGGCCCACATGCTGTATAATGCGGCCGCCGGCGGGGAGAGAGGGAGGGAGACAGCCAGGAGAGAGGACCCGGCGGAGCTCTAACTTAAAGCTCCGCCGGGTTCCTCTTGCGAGATCCGGATCTCGCGAGAGTGAACTCTAGCCCCACAGACTATGGGGGCTAGAGTTCACTCACCACGAGGACCACCAGGGAACACTGCCACCCCGCCTCCCTGTCACCAGTGTGCTTTTCCCCCCCTCCCAGGCTAAAGGTAAGAGGGGGGGGGGGGACATAATGCCTGCTTAGTTTATTTGTTTATTTACCCCCCCCTACACACACACTATCCATTCTAACATTTATACAGCACTCTCTCACACCCATCACACACAGCACTCTCACACACCCAGCACTCTCTCACACCCAGCACTCTCTCACACCCAACACACACAGCACTCTCTCACACCCAGCACTCTCTCACCCAGCACACCCAGCACTCTCTCACACCCAGCACTCTCTCACACCCATCACACACAGCACTCTCTCACCCAGCACACACAGCACTCTCTCACACCCAGCACTCTCTCACCCAGCACACACAGCACTCTCTCACACCCATCACACACAGCACTCTCACACCCATCACACCCAGCAATCTCTCACACACAGCACCCTCACACACACATACTGCACCCCTCACATACACACAGAACCCCCCCAACACACTGCACCACACACATACACAATACTTCCAAATATATATATATATATATACACACACATATACACATACACACACTTGTAAGCAAACACATACTACACCCCTAAACACACACTACATCACCTATATACACACACACACACACCTGTATGCACACACTTGCTATATCCCCTATGCACACATTCTCTACAGCCCCTAGCCACATATGCATCACATTACACCACAAACACAACACGACTAAAACCGACCTTATTACACAATACCACACCACAATCAGCTCACTCTACACACACGCAATACCACAAGCAGGCTCCAAACACATGCACAATACTCTTTCCTGGCATTTTTGTCTCCTGGTATCCATTTATAGAGATCCCAGAGACAAGTTGCAAGGAAACACAGTGCAAGCATGTTATTAAATTTGCTTGCACTGTGCAGAACAAATACAGGGCTTTTTTCTCATGCTGGAGCTCTTCAGCAGAGCTCTGCGCATGGTCTGCCCTGGAAGAGCATTAAACCAACATGCTCACTTTGAGAGGGGGCGTTTTTTTTTTTATTGGTGATGACAAAACACACCTCCTCTGCCCCGCCCCCTTCTTAGTGGGCCGCTGTGGTGAAAAAATGCCCGGGCCGAATTTTTCTCCCAGTCCGGCCCTGAATTGGAATGTATGGGGTAATCCAAAGTAGTAAATGAGAAAGATTTTCAGCACCATCACTAATGTACCAAAATTCCCATAGAGTTCCCCAAATAATTATAATAAGGAGATCTGGTATCTGTCATGTAGTGATGAAGCTCTAATATAAGTGTAGGTAGAAACACAAAACAAGTAGTAAAAGTCAATTAATAGTAAATCACCAGGAGAAACAAAATACTGTGACCTGTGCCAAGGCTGAAGCAGCAAAGAAAGAGGAGGAGCTGAGACTGTCAAACTTGTCAATTCAGATGCCTTTCACTTTTTCCTTCAGTGTGATTGGTTCTCTTCAATGGACGGATTCGTCTTTCCACTGTTCCTCGTGAAGTTCCGGCCCGGATTTGGGATTATACTGTTTTGTTGAACTTTTCGACTTCCGTTTCTTGTCATGGTTTTTTCCATGTTATTTACCTGTTTAATATTCGCTACAAAGAAAGAGGAAGAGCTAAGACTGTCAGGGCCTTTTATGTATCACCTGACTTTTTTCTGATTGGTTGTTCTGTTTCTGTGCTGCTGGAAGTTTTCAGTAAAGAGAGTTATGCAAATATTCACGCCTCCTGTCATGTGGTAAAATGTCAAATTCCCTTTAAATTCCTGACAATGCTCACTTTAGTGATTAACCCTCCTAGTGTGCCGCACTAAAAATGTAGGAACGTTTCATTTCAAATGAAAATACATAGAAAATACCTGGTGAGATGCGTGGGCATTTTCAGGGAGAACACTTTACTTATAAAGCAGCATGCTACAGTTTTATTACATCAGATAAATCTTGCTGTGCGATTTTAGGACGCGGAGCACAGAAGGAACTGCAGCTTTTTAAAACTCAAGGAAAACCCCGTTTTGATTTATTTTCTTACAGTTTGTTAGTAGACAACCCCCTTATTTGCTATCCTTATGCGGGATTGCCATAATTAAGGACACAAAATAAGTGGGGTATCTGCCAAACATTGCCCTTAATGAAGTAGTTTTAGTGTATAGATCATGCCCCTGCAGACTCAGTGCTCAATTTCCTGCCATTTAGGAGTTAAATCATTTTTGTTTCCATCCATGCAGTGCTAGCTATACTTGTACTTCCTCACTAAGTTTGACTTGCTAAACATGACAAAACCTTTTAAATTTTCAACCAGAGGTTAAGTTGCTTTAGACATTTTCAACTCCTGCTCTATTAATTAAACTTTAATTACACACAGGAAGCTATAGAAAAAGGCTGTATAAGTCACATGCTGGGAGGGAGGCGTGACTGGGGCTGTAACTAGTGATCACAGGGCCCCAGTGCAAGAATCAAGGATGCCCGCCACCCTTACTGCCCTCCTTGCTCCCCCAAAGCAATAGCAATACACCTGAGTGGGATGTGTGTGGTAGCGGAGTGTGATTGTGTTGGGGTAGGCTTAGTGTGATATGCATGTGTGGAGTTGACAGTCTGTGTGTGAATACATATGGGGTTTGCCTGCATGTGAGCATGGAGTGATTGGCCCTGCTTGGCTCAGCTATCCTTCCCCAATAGCTGAGCATAAGTGATTATAACTGCAGTAGGAGGTAGAGGAATAGTGTAAATGAATGCAGCTTCCAAGATGATTCTCCCCAGCAAATAGAATATTCCCCAAACATGAGCCTAGACTTCATGAAGGGTCTAACAGGAATGATTTTTATTCATGACACAGTGGCTTTTATGAGAAATCCTCCTGCAAGATGACCTCCCACAGCAAACAAAGACAATAACCAATCAACATACAGATTTACAGTAACCCCCGCCCTCTCTCTGCCTGGGAGATATTGAGATAAGTTAAGGAATAACCCAATTATCCCCAGGCAGAGTGCACACAATTTTCCCAAACGTTAGAACACCCCTTTTCACATAAGGTATCCCCACAAATTACATATCCCATGATAGCCCCAATGTAGGGCACCAACATATCCAAATTTCACCCAGATCGGTTCAGGGGTTCTTAAAAAGTATGGAAGTCACAAGTTACTGACCACACACGAGGCTCCTGCCCAAAACAGTTCCACGAATTCAGCGTGTGTGGTCGGTCAATTCAGAAAAAGGCATAAAACGAATAAAAGTCCCGAATGGATCCTCCTGGCTCATAGGAGCGATTGCTCCCCTTGTCCGTATGAACAAAACTACCGAATGGCGCTCTCCTGGCTGTTCGGAAACTAAAGGAAGCAGGCGTTCGGTAGTTTCAGCGGTCGTTCGAGAGGTCGAGTGTCCGATTTTAGTTCCAGACACTCGACGACCAAGTCCCGCTGCCTCCTTTCGTGCAAACAAGATGGCCGCTGTTTTCTGTTCCACGTGGCATTCGGCTATACGAACAGCGGCCGCCCAGAGAGCGCTTAATAGATGGTTCTTTTGACGTTAATGAGCCAGGAGGGTGGTCGGTAGTTTTAAACTACCAAACCAATAGATTCAACATGCACAAAATACTGCAGAATAAGCCTGAACATAGGAGAAAATACCGAACTAAGTATATTTTCTTCACAGTCTATATTGCATTTTATTTATTATGTTGGTGAGATTTTTCACATTAAAGGACCACTATAGTGCCAGGAATACATACTCGTTTTCCTGGCACTATAGTGCCCTGAGGGTGCCCCCACCCTCAGGGTCCCCCTCCCGCCGGGCTGGATGGAGAGGAAGGGGTTAAACTTACCTCTTTTTCCAGCGCCGAGTGGGGGACTCTCCTCCTCCTGTCCGCCTCCTCTCATCCTCCTCGGCTGAATGCGCATGCGCGGCAAGAGCCACACGCGCATTCATCCAGTCTCATAGGAAAGCATTCATAATGATTTCCTATGGACGCTGGCGTCTTCTCACTGTGAAAATCACAGTGAGAAGTGCGGAAGCGCCTCTAGCGGCTGTCAATGAGACAGCCACTAGATGCTGGATTAACCCATAGGTAAACATAGCAGTTACTCTGAAACTGCTATGTTTACAGCAGGCAGGGTTAATCCTAGAGGGACCTGGCACCCAGGCCACTTCATTAAGCTGAAGTGGTCTGGGTGCCTATAGTGGTCCTTTAATGGTCAGCACATGGACACGCCTTGTCACTGCTGCAACAAAGTACATAACTTAAAGGGATACTTCATTGCCAAAATTCAATATATACAAAATTCACTGCTTAGTGATATACCTCAAATAAAAACTCCCAGGCATTTAATTTTCAATCTTTTGTTTCAGGTATTGTACCGGAGGATTGGAGGAAGGCAGATGTTGTTCCTATATTTAAAAAGGGTTCAAAATCCTTGCCTGGAAATTATGGACCTGTAAGCTTAACTTCTGTGATTGGGAAAATATTTGAAGGGCTATTAAGAGATAATATTCAGGAATTCATTGAGAAGAACTGTCTTACTAGCAATAATTTTATGAAACAAAGGTCATGTCAAACTAACCTAAATGCATTCTACGAAGAAGTAAGTAGAAGTATAGATCAGGTTGTTGCAGTGGATGTGATCTACTTGGATTTTTCCAAGGCATTTGATATGGTTCCTCACAATAGGTTAGTCTTCAAACTAAAATAAATTTGTCTAGATGATTATTCTTGTTCTTGGGTAGAACATTGGCTTAAGGATATAATACAGCGAGTTGTCATTAATGGTAAATTTTCGGGCTGGACAAAAGTGGCAAGTGGTGTCCCTCAGGGTTCTGTTTTGGGACCACTTCTATTTAACATATTTATAAATGATCTTGAAATGGGCATTGAAAGCCATGTTTCAGTGTTTGCAGATGACACAAAACTTTGTCAATGAGACAGCCACTGGAGGCTGGATTAATCCTATTATAAACATAGCAGTTTCTCTGAAACTGCTATGTTTATAGAAAAAAGGGTTAAACTTAGCTGGACCTGGCACCCAGACCACTTCATTAAGCTGAAGTGGTCTGGGTGCCTATAGTGGTCCTTTAAGCATGAAGTGATTATAAGGATTGGGATATGTAAATGCTGTTATTTGTGATTGTACAAGGTATATATAATCACCTATTGTATTGTTGAAATAATGAGAAGTCATAGATGTATTATGATCTATATTAAACCTTATGTAATTCTACTTGGTACATTTTATCCACGATTGGGGTTGTCATACTGCAATGATATTTAGGTCTATCTGGTTCTAATTAATGCTTCCTCTACTGATACAATAAAACTATAATTGCCAAGTACTTTGCCGAGTTGCGCATGCATATCAATAGTGACTCAGTTTAGTCCGATCATGTGACCGGCGTAACGTGATGGGATCCGTACAACCTACCCGGAAATGTAAGTGTTCTGTTATGATTTGGCACTCCCAATATATTTAAATTGCTTGGTCTTATTAAAATAATCTTATATAATTAAACAATTAGCCAAACCTTTAATGAACCTTTTTATTCTATTGGTTGAACTCTCTTGCCGTTTTTGACACCCCCAATATTTGAGACTACTATTGGAGAGATGATTATGTTCTTACACTGCTTTTACTATTATTGATTGATTATGTAATTAACTAATTGTAGTATCTCACATGTTTTATCACTTGTTAATTGTTGTATACACCTATATATAGTGTGTGAGTTATGTGTTTCAGTATCTTGACAAAGGCCAAGAGGGGTCGAAACGTTGTTTTTTGGTGCTTGGGTCCAATAAAATTGCCTATTTTTTGGAATATCTTGGAGTGCCTGGATTATTTTCTAAATTTAAAATACACACACACACAAAAACGTTCTCGCATACACACAAATTATTTTTTATATTTTAATTTAAGTCCACCCATCCTCCCTACATTTTGGAGAGTTTGAGTGGATCCTTTCCCTGGTGTACAGTGATGCTGCTTGGATCCAGTAATTTTACAGCTCTTCTTGGTCAGCTCCCCCTCACTGGGCCCGGAGTGACAACTGGGAGCTCAAGGGAGCAGAGCTAGAAGAGCATGCCGCCACTGTTGCACACAGCTGCCCGCCTTGGTGAGGGGTGGCTAAAGTGGCCAACCGGCCAGCTCTTTGGCCCCCGTGAAAGACGGAACACCGGATGCCCAGTTGCGCGGTTTTGTTTTGTGGGGTTTTTTTTAGTTAATTTTCTAAGTTAAAAAGAGACTCAAGTCCATTAAGTTCAACCTTTAAAAACATTTTTTATGCTGTTGATACAAAACAAAGCCAAAAACAGAATCCAACCTGAAGCAATGGATCGATTGTGCCACAAAAATACAAAAGATTCACTCAATCACACCATTTTTTTTATTAGAAGATTTCATTTTATTAAAAAAATAGGATTTGAGCCCCTAGGACCGGAGTGGATTGCTAGTTTTTAATCAAGCTCTTCCATCCAAGGGTTTAAAACTTTAATCTCACTTTGCTTTTGTGCACCTATAATTTTATTTCGAGTTCTGGTGCCACAAAATGCTATATTAAGACAGTTTAAGTACTAGTGATGTACTCCAAGATCGTGCAGGAAGTGCATTATCAAGAGGAGGAAATAGAATTAAAAGGATGACTTATAGACAGAATACAAGTTTCTTCTAGCCTAGGGGAGGCACTTTTCAGCTCAGTACAATTCTAGTTGAGGAGCCTGGGGCTTTAACTCAAAGATGGTCAGTTTTGGTGCTTTAGCTGGGAATGGTAGGTCATAGCAGATACAGGTCCAAACATCACTATCTCTGTGGTGGCTCTGCCTTAACTGAAGATGTTGGTCCCTCCCCTGGGCTAGATGAAAGATAATGTAAAAATCTGGCTGATTCTCAGCAGCTACAGCGCCTTGACCATTCCAGATGTATATACTCTATACCCAGAGCTCTAGCTGTGGAGAATGCTAGCTATGAAACCCGATGCAAAGAGAGTCCATATGTGGCTGAGCTGAAGACCAAGCAGTCAGCAGGGTAAACACTCAACCTAGTTTCTGGAAGGTACAGTTTATAGTGACTACAGTGGAGACTCCACCTTGCTTAATGTGGAGTCTGGGGAGAGAAAGGACCATGATCACATCTCGAACACATTGGGAAATATATAGTTAGCAGAGGAGGAGGCGGTGCCAGATAAGGGGCGTGTTGGTGAAACGTCCCAAAAGTGACACATCTCCCCAGGGCTACCCATGGTTTAAGCACTGTTAGAAAATATCCCAAAATATCTTGGCACAGCCAATTAGGATTGAAGACGCAATTATGCTGCAATTTTGGGCACCAACAGCCTGTGACAGTAGGACTGGGACACAGGGTTGTGACTCTCCCACTAAATTCAGGACAGTCGGGAGGTATGCACATTAGAAAGTGCAGTGACTGTCCTAGAATTAATAGGCTAGCTTGATTTTTAAATACAACCAAACAATTTGGTTTGTGCAGACCCTGTGCCAGCAAGCAATGTTTTACATATCTACCCTTAAATCACGTTGTGTAGAACTAATTGATGGTAAATAAAAAGGAAATTCTACAATGGAGTACAATCCATAACGGACAGATTGATTTGTCAACACACTCGTAAAAGAAATTGAAATTCAGCAGGACCCGTTATTAGGCTTGTCCATATAGAGCTGTGCTAAAAAAAAAAAATCTTATTAATGTAAAGAGAAACTTGTATTTTAGCTGTAATGTCCATTTAACTACTAGAAGGTAAGCACAGCATAGCAGCGGTCATGCACTCCAGTACAGAGAATGTTGGTAAATCACATGCAAAGCTTTGGATTGAATGGGTTAAAACAGGTTTCCCCAAAGTTTGGGTGTATGACCGTGCTATGTCGCTGATGATGCCCTTTGACACCCGGTATAGAGTTAGAAAGATGGGCTATTGTTGGTATACAATTCCCATCATCAGAAAAGCTAGTCTGAGGGTGATATGATTTGCAGTCCAAGATAATACTTTTCCCCCCCAAAAAAGGGAATTGGATCCATTTACACATAAAACTCCATTAGATTAGATTCCACTCCAATCTAGTCACTGAAGTGAAGATCACATACAGAATACATGATTATCCAGCAAGTTCTTTAAAGGGAAGGGTATATAAATCTGTACTTGCACTTAATTATTCCAGACATTTCTCTTCTGACCATGCAGTAATGTCAAGCAATCTGCAGCCATCCGCAGAGCCAGCTCTGGGATCAAAAAAGAAAAAAAAAAAAAAGATATATATCACTGCAACCCAGAGGCTTTACCAGAATAAATCCAGTGATCCAGTGTGACTTCTAACCATAGAAGCTCACAATCAGATTATTTAGTTGCAGCTGATAATTCAAGCATTCAGGGGAAAATTCCATCCCATTTTCTGCCGCCAGGTCCAAAACTACCAACCCACTGGGCTCACAATCCGGTTAGGCTAGAATGTTTCATTAGGCAAAGTGCCCAGTTGCTACTTTTTTACGACCAATCACTCAAAAACCGCATCTCGCCCTAGCTTCACTTTTAAAATAATGATCCCATCCCATTCAATGTGTCAGACAGAAGCGTAAATAAATACAATGAGAATTGGCGTAGCAGACCTGGTGCACTTGGAAGGGTTATATCGTTTCTTCTAGGTCGTAATGGAAGCAGCATTGGGATATGAGGTGCCTGGGTGTGTTTATTTGGCAGGGAGGGCGCAGCTAGCATTTAAAGATCACAGTTTTTTGACAGTTCGACTGTGTGCTGGCGTTGACCTGCTCCTAGATTCTCGGTTAAGTATATCCACACTTTTCCGGCTGGAGCGAACCACATCTCTAATGAAGCTAGCACAATCTGAGCATACATCCTTCAGGGTGGACCCCTGGGCGTAGATGTGGGGGAACTGACCTTCCACATTCTTCCACGATAGACCGCTACAAGACCTAAGCACGGGAAATCAGAAAGTATGTTTTAGCTCAGTCGGCATCAGAATTAATGCAAATCAACATATATCTACAGTCGTAAGGCTAGTGTAAAAAAGTAGATAAAAACAAACCAGGTCTAAGAAATTAGTATCTGTTTCTGCTCAATACTGTAACTCCAATTTTGTCTTTACATTTTAAATGGTTTTTTTTTTGTTTGTTTTCTTTTTTCACTTTACTTTAAAATGATCTTGTTTTACATATCGCAAAATACATTTTTAGAAAAAGAAAAAACCAAAGGCAACTAAATTATCTCTAATTATTTGCTTGAATTTTCTTCTTTACTCTTTGCACCAATCTAAAAAAAAAAAATACACTTCTAGATACCATGGACTCCCTTTTAAAGCAACTCTCGACAATAAGATTTACTAGTTACTGTGCACGGAGTATATCTTTACCATGTAGTACATACAATAGATTACTGTATAACTGATTACAGTCCTTAAAAAATATTCATAAAACTTATTACAAACCCAATAGAATGAAAACTCACTGAAAAGTGTCCTTTTTGGAATGGGCTCCACTTGTACCAATTATTCCTGGAGGGCTCTCAAACCCGACGGTATAAACGGGAATGTGCCCCAACTTTTTGGCTGGAAGCTTCATCTGTAATTAGAGGAGAAAAAAAATTGCTGATAATTGTCATAAAGAGGTTAAGAAGTTTAAAAAAACAAAAAACACAATTTGTTTCCTAGTCTCATTGTTCTAGCCCGAACCAGGGGATGACAGGTCGGATAACTCTAGTACGGCCATACTAGACCTGATCACGTTAGAGTCGTGGTCTGTTATGTCATACATCCAGACAGGTCTTTACAAGGAGCCCCAAGCACATCATGTTACAAAGGGCAACAGACTGGCCATTAAAGGTTGCTGGGCCAATGGTTGGACCTACTTTACGACGAGTGCTTTTCCCCCTGGAGACATTTGCCATACTCTGGTGTAAGCCAATAAAACTAGCCTCTAACTGAAATGTTCCTGTGAGATCACATATTGAGTCTCTCCAACCTCACCTAAAGCCAGTCTACAGAACAAATTCAGATTATCAGGTATTCTGCAACCTCCATCATAGACGACATACATAGATCTAAACCACTGGTTCTTCCATCTCTACAATGTATAGATTCGGCACGTTACCTACGGCTGTGTTAAAAAAGAAGGATGCCTTACATGACAAGTTATAGCTTACCTTTACACTGCATGAGCCACAGACAGACCTAGACAGACAAACAAAACACACAATTAATGTAGACTTTGGAACTCAGGTACTGAATGTCCAAAATGTAGAATATAGATTATTAGAGGATCCTGCGTTTACTGAAACAACAATTCTGGACATGTGTTAGAGCAAGCTCTGGGCAGTTTGGCCACGTCCATCGGCTTGGACAATACAACAGAGCTTTGTTCAGGACAGGAAGATATTTATTATGGCACACACATATTTGCATTCCTCCCTTCCCTCTCCATCCAGAGCCACAACTTAGATTATGTGGATTGTTTAACAGCAGGTCAGACTTAGCCATTTTAAGATTTGGGCATGATTAACATTAATAAAAAAACCAAGGACGGAGTATCTCACCTTTTACAGAAGAGACAGTTAGCTGGCCAGGAGAAGAGCGGGAACTTCACTCTGCAGCAGCAGCATACCTGGTTATAGAAAGGTGAAAGGTCAGAGCTAGATACATGTATCAGGGGGTCTGGAAGCATTTCGCTATTCTTCTTAAAATGTTAAGGTATTCAAATTGAATTTTACATTTTATGTCAAAATATCCAAAATCGGATTTCAGCTAGATTTTTAGTTTGAATATTTTGGCCTAAAGTTTGAAATTCCGTTTGACACATCAACAGGAATACTCACTAAAGGGTAGATTTTAAAGTCAGCCATGTTCACTGCACATCCAACCAGTTGCACTGCAATATCCACGATGCGTTGTAGCTCAACAGCTGTAGAGTTAGAACATGGCGGTCCCCAAATATAGGTAATCCACCAGCTCCCTCACTTGGATGGACACAGAATGTCTGTGACTTTGGAAGACTCTTAGTGGCAAACAAAGTTCTATCACATATGTGTCTAAAATAATTACCTTCCCTTTCTTCAAACTGGTGTACAGCTCCTTTTTCTGCAGGAATTTCTCCATTTCTGCCTTCACTAACACCTTGCGAACGTTCATAACCTCCTCGACAGTTAGGGCCAGTGTGTCCACGGGATGACTGAATTCCTGCACGACAGACATGAGGTCATGGTACTCATCAGAAACAGCCATGGCCTGCAGCTTAATATGAAATCAGTCACTACATTAATCTGCTATAAACGGTGTCCATAGGCAGCCTGGTGAAGATGCAACTATCCCATTACCTGCAACCACTTCAGTCATTTCGACATCAGCTGTTTTTCCCCTCCATTTTATTGTTGTTGTTGTAAAGGTTGCATAGAAATTCAATAATCTAGCTAAATATATTTTATGCAGGAGTGTTGTTCGGTAGACTTCAGCCCAAGGGTACATTTTATGTCTCTCCTGCCTATATTGACTTACACCTTCCTAAAACAAGCCCTGTACAATGTCCAAAGTCCAACCCTAAACCCCAATGTGTTCTGAAAGTCTCAAAATTCAGAGTATGACATGGATTTACATTTCTGCTAAATTAACACCAACCAATGCTGTATTAACCCTCAAACCCACTACATTAAACACTGTACCCCCAGCAACAACCCCACACAGCGAGCTGTATAATTATCTTAAAATACAGCACTGTCACAAATTATATCATTTGAGGTGTTATGTCATACGATTTTACAGGGTCAGGGCCAACAATGAAATGATGCTGAATTTAGACCCAGACTTTGTTTTTGCCCCAAACATTAAGTTAATAACTCCTCGAAGTATGTGCTTCACATCATCATTCCCTTCTTAGAACTGAAATATACATGTGACCAATTAAAGTAAATGTATCTTTTCTACGCTAAATCCGATCCTTCCCAGTTTTCATGTATCCCTCACCAGCCATCGATGCCTGGAGCTGCTGTCTGTAGCAGAATCTGGTTCTGTGGTCTCCTGCACGGAGCTAAGGGAACCACGGCTGGGTGATGGGTTGCCAGTATCTCCAGAAGCAGAGTAGTTCACTGCATTAGAGAGACAGAATGTCAGTATGGAAACTTACTTCCCAAAGTCATGTGAGGACACACGAGGACATTAAGCCACCATACTCACTGAGGCTCCTGTTCATTACTCTGGGCGTTGTATTCATGCTGCCTGACCGGGCCCTGGCTGCCACCACCGGCTGTTCCTGTGACATCTCTCGTGGTGGAACATGGCCCATCTCACTCTGCAGCTGTGCCAGGTCCTGCTCAGAAAACGAGCGGTCGCGTTTCAGGGGCAGTGGAGCACTTATGACTCTGCGAAGCTCCGAGTTGGGGGAGTCATCCTCCTGCAATGAGCCATTTATAATATGACTTTACAAACCAACAGCACAGTCCTTGTCAATCCTAAACAAAGTCCTAATCTACATCGAATTTCAATCCTATATCACCAGATTTTGAGAGCTGTGCTTTTGGCTTTGTTCATAATATTCAATAAGTGAAGAAGCTAATTCGATCATATTCAGCCATATCACTTAGGCTTAATTATTCTTGAGTGCAATCGTATAAAAAAAAAAAAAATATCTCAAGCTTCTTATCACCACACTAATATTACCTGGAGCCAGGCAACTACTCACTTCAATTAAGTTAAGCTAGTTCATTTTTTTTTCTTTCGTATGTATATAAATTCCATCTTGAGAATACTACACTATTGTGTCTCTACTTTTTCCTTTGAATACTAAGGCATAGAGGCCTTTAAAATCATATATTGTTTGTTTTACCATACTAGATTACGCTATTGTTATTTTTTCCTTTTTTATTTTTTATTTCTACCCTGCACTTCCACAATTGTAAGGATTTCCCCCCCCCCACATTTTTCTGCTATTTTAAGCTTTTGCTATGGTGAACTAGGGAAGAGCCCACTCAGGTGTTAAAGCTGCGTGTTTTTTTTTTTTTTTATAGGATATAAGTGCAGTTGCACATTTTTGTTGTTTTCTTTTTCTGCATATGTAAACGTTTTTTCTCTGTATTTTGTAAACCTTGAGCTGCCTCAATTTTCAAAACACATGTTCTGGAACTGACCCTCCACTGAGAACACCCACAGCCATCGTCTACCTCAGACAGATTCAGCTCTTCCATTTCTGCCAATGTAGGCGCCTTTAATAACACGCGGGGACGAGGGCGGGGGGCTCCGGAGTCTGTTACGGATAGGTTTATACAGGACGTTGACTTCACATCGCTGGAACAAGCGTCTACTATACATGGGAGTGATCCAAACCCTAAGGATAGAAAGAACAGTGATGTAGGATGAATTATGGGAGATATGACTGTGGCGAAACTGACCTCGCCACTGGTTTTTGGAGCGGCCTGTTCGCCAGCCTCCTGCCCTGCGACTATGGCCCTGGGATGTATTGCCCTTCTATTAAGTGATTTGGGCATATTGTATTTTATTATGCTGCTGCTGGTCCTTTAAGAACCATGTGGGGACATACTGTGGAGTTACTGAGTGGCCACCATTTCATGTATCAGAGGCACATGGCGAGAACAATGGATGAAGCACATGGGGAGAACAATGGATGAAGCACATGGTGAGAACAATGGATGGCGGCCATTTTAACTCACAGACATTGTTTGGACTTTTCTACACGGTGCCATCTCGCCGGTATTTGGTGCACAAAGACATTGTGCAGTAGTTTTAAACTATACAACAGGGGACACATTATACAGTAATTATTTTTCATATAGCCTGTATATGTTCTGCGGAATCTGCATTAAACCATATCTTCCAAACTACTGAACGGATCTGGGTGAATTTTGGATATGTGGTTCACCCAGATCCCCCGGATATACTTTTTATGGAGTTATTGCATGTTTTGGGGTCCCTGTGATAGGTTTTATAATACTGTATTTCTCTGCCTGTGATAATTATATTAACCATTGTGTTCAGTAATCATATCACAGGCAGAGGGGAGGATTTTGTGTGGGAGTGTCTGTGTGTATTGTACGGATTGATTGGTTGTATTTCAAAACCCTGTGGGCAGTACGATGTTTGTGGATTGTGAATAAAAGAGGCTGTATGTGCCAGTACAGTCAGTTCTACTTCACCCTCAATTTGGAGTGCCGTCTCTTATTGGGGGAATCTGCTACAAGGGATTGCTTTGCTTGTCATATTCCCTTGCTAAATCACTACTAAGCTCTTGTAAGAGCTTGTTCCTGCCTTGCTCTCTGGAGGAGTCTACAGCAGTTATGGTGTCTGCTGCAGTGCTTGGAGTCCTCAGGAAGCGCTAGGAGCATCCTTCAACGGAGGTACCCAGTCAGGGTGCCCGTCGATTCGTTACAATGACCTTGGCATTTTATGGGTCAGATCCAAAGTGGAGTGTCCCTTTAATAACTTTTTAATAAGCAGTAAAGCATGACAGCAGAACAGAATAACAAAATACTTAAACATTTTCAATAAAAGTGATTGACAAAAATCTAACCAAAATCGGTTATGGATTAGAAGAAAGCACCGGACAAATGTTGCACCGTGGACTGATGGTTTCTAGTTACGCCTCTGGTGTCAGTTATAAATAAAGAAGATATTTATCTTTAACTTCTGTTATGTTATAATCCTCTTTATTTTGAAAGTAAAAGGGCATGCACCCCAGAGCAAATCATTAGAGCAGGAGGTACCTTTCTGTCCCCGTCTTCGTGTTTCCACCGGGCGTAGTTTAGGCTCTTGCTTGATCTCCTCCAAGATCTTCTCGTGCAGACTCCTCTGTCTGAGAGGCAATGGGGGTAAATTTCTTTGGGCAACCTTTTAAATGGGAAAAAAAACCAACACACATTATTTTTCACCCAACGTAAGCCACAGGCTCATTATTTCAATTAGAGCAACATTAATTACCGGTTTTAGGGGAGGCCGAGACCTGATAAAGTCCAAGATGAGTTCATGGGCGTCTTTCTTAACCTTTGGTGGAATATCTCCTCCGACCTGTAAACACAAGCTCATTATACATATTTAGCAACGGAGAATGATTTAAAGAAACAGACAGTGTCTTTGTATCCTTTTTTCTTTTGTGTGTTTAATGTTTTTCATGTATTTTGTTTTGTGAGGTTTATGTATATCCCTTTTGTCCTTTTTCTTCGCTTTGTACCCTACATAAATAATTAAGTATAAATTTTTAAAAAATAGACAGACAGGAAATGGACTGAAAGATGGGCAGGAAAAGCAAGAGACTAGCAAATGAAATGGTAGAAAATAAGATAAGCATTATGAAAAAGTACTAAAAAAAACCCAAAAATTTTTAATAGTGCAGTCTTTTTAAAAAATGTATATAATTTATTAAAACAGAGTTTTTTCTTTTTTAAACCTTTTTTTTCTTTTTTCTTTCAAAGATAGCCTGATATCTCTTGTTGACACTATTTTTTCTTTTTAAATAAATTTAATTATTTACAATTTTGATTCTTTGTATTTCGTTTTAAGGTTATGGCCAAAATTAGTCTTTCATAATGTTTTTTTTAGATCAACCAGGATATGTCGCCTTTATACATATTGAGCAGTAGAGGTCGCTGCAACACTTCCTATAGACTGAGCTAATGGAAGATTTGCAGCTGTGATGCTAAATTTATGTATAGCTAGAGTATTTGCCCTTCATTAGAATGACAGATGGTTTGTACAGACAGTGTTTCATTGTAGTCTCTCCACCCTGTTTGACTACAACTCCCATGATGCAGTGTGACACCTGTACATAAACTCACTGTTACCTATGTAACAACTAAATAGTAGCATTAAAATTCATGGACACAATTGCACAAAGACAGATGCACCGACTGCTACCTGCACAAGTACACACCTGTACCCGTAACCTACCTGTACCCGTACCTACCTGTACACACAACCCAACAGCTACATTGCACAGTAAGTGGCAGATAGGGAAGGGGCCAGAATACCAATTTAAAAAGGAGTATAATTATTAATAGTATTAAAAATGGCTCAATGATATAGAGCAGTTTACAAAGGATATCATGTATACAGGGTGGGATACAACATGTGCCCCCCCAGATTATTTGAATAAAATAGATAGCCAATGCCCATATTATTTTGAATGAAACAGATAGCCAGGGATTTATGGCTGATAGCCAGGGGATCATGGGAGTTATAGTTCAAAACATCTGGGGAGTTGCAGGTTGTGAAGGCCTGCCTTAGAGTCTGGAATAGAAATAACCGATAACCCTTATGAACACTGGAGCGGCTATGTACTGAAAATATCCCTAACTTGGCGCACACGAACACATTTTTGTTAAGAAAAAAAACCAATTTCAACATGTAAGGCTGGCACAAACTATGGTGCCCGCTAAATTCCCTCCAATACCATACCAGCTTCATTTAACTCACCATGACTTTGCGCAGTTTGTAATTCCTGGCTCGGATATCCTGCATGAGCATCTCAAAGGGTGTGAGCTGATATTCGGTCGGCAAAGAGTTAAACGTGTTTTCCTGAACTTTCTTTAACTGGACCCCATGACGCAGATCTCTCATCAGCTGCACCCACAGACGTGCCTGCGAAGGAAAGACGGGGAACCCACAGAACAGAATGTAATAACACGGCAAGACCGGTTTTGCGTACGCTCACATTTCTAGTACAAAGCCTATCCCATGCAGAGCAGAAAGAGGAAATGGTATTAAATAAAATGTTAATTTCATTAGAATAATTTTCTTTAAAAATTCTTACAAAGCAGGGTTATTCACCAAAGTGAGAATAACGAGTTAGAGAATTTTTCTAATTCACCTAATTTTGGTGTAAATGATTAAATTAACTTTGAGCTCACTTTGAATTCCTGGAATTTCTCACCTTAGTGAATAACCCCAAACGTGTTTGAGGCATGACGAGATACACAAACTAGGTAATCCCCCAGTATATTAAAAACAAGAGATTTTCCTTAGACAGGAAGACGAGCTCAGTATTTGAGGTCAATGAAACTACTCACTAGCCAGAAATGCCAAAGTCATCCAAACTCTCAAAGAAGGGGGAAAAAAGCTCTAATTTCAGAGCTTGAAAGTTCAAAATTAGATTTTTTGTTTTTAGAGAAAAACTTCAATAACTGCCTCTCCAAAGCTGGCAGACTAATCCAGTAATGCTGAGGAGTTAACTCATCTTGTGTTGACCACCTCCCCTATGGTTCTACGCTAACATAGGATATACAACTGTTTTTAAGACAATACTTTGGAGAATTAAATATCTCCTGCCGGTATATCTACTCACCCAGTCAGTGTTCTGCAGGTTCACCAGTCCATCTGGTTCAGACTCTTCCACCTTTAGCTTCTTTAATACCTGGAAGTCCAGAACCCAGAGGTTACGCAAGGAACTCAATAGGAACCCTTATCCGCCTAAATAAGAATAGCCAAATGGACTTCTCACCTCTTTGGCATCTCGTATCTTCTTCAGGAAAGCTCTGAGTTCTACAGTCTCTGCAAATAATGCTCTACAAACTGCCTGGTAGTGGGACTGTGCCTCATGGGGCTCTGGAAGGCGAGATGCACAGAGACGTAGCACCGCTGGGAAACTGCGGACCACCCGAGGAAAACCCTCTTCATCCTCATCTTCTGGATCTTCATACCCTTCATCTGTAAGGGTCCCTTCAGAGTCACTGTTGGCCATTAGGTCAATGAGCTGCTCCAGCTGAGGACTGAGTTCCCGCTCTTCACTGTCATCCAGGCCCCAGTCCAAGGCACGGTATATGGCAAAGCCCAGACATTGAACCATCTGCGGAGTAGAAGAGAGAGAGTCATATATCCAAAATAATAAAATTAAAATAAAAATGAAGAGTAAAAAAAATTTAATTAAAAGGCACAAACAAACCAAAAATTTATAAAGTGATCACTTAAACTGTAAGCTTTGGACCTAGATCAACTGGTGGTCCAGTAATATGGTCGAACCAGATCGACTGGGGTACCTTTTATCTGTGCTTTGTACAAACTGGGCCTAGCACGGTGAAGAGCTACTATGGCTTCAAACAGTACTCTTGCAGCATGTTCATTTCAAAGCCATTAAAGGACCACTATAGGCACCCAGACCACTTCAGCTCAATGAAGTGGTCTGGGTGCCAGATCCATCTAGGGTTAACCCTGCAGCTGTAAACATAGTTTCAGAGAAACTGCTATGTTTCACTGAGGGTTAATCCAGCCTCTAGTGGTTGTCTCACTTAAAATCACAGTAAGAAGACGCTGTCGTCAATAGGAAAGCATTGAATAATGCTTTCCTAGGGACTGATTGAATGTGTGCGCGGCTCTTGCTGCACATGCGCATTCAGCGCTGATGTTGGAAGAGGGAGGAGATTTCCCCAGCACTGAAGGAACCCGGCGCTGGAGAAAGGTACGCGTTTAACCCCTTCCTCCCCCTTCAGCCAGGTGGGAGTGGGGACCTAAAGACCCTATAGTGCCAGGAAAACGAGTTTGTTTTCCTGACACTATAGTGGTCCTTTAATTTTGTGTTATTTTTACCTAAATTAGTTTGTCATTTCATTACAATTTAATGAATATATCTCTGCATTTTAAATAGAGGCTCGGAGGCCACCATTTTCTATTTGTTCACTCATGTTCTGCTAAAAGACAGTTTATATGTTTTAAGCATGTATTAGGTGCAGGCATTATACACAGTAAGCTGTGTAGTAAAATTGAAACATAATTGCTTGAATGTTGTATATAAAATGGCCCAAAGCATTATATCTGAATAATTGATCTTTATGTGAGTACGCAGTTGTGTTTGTCCATTGATGGGAATGGTGACTTTTTAGAAGAGGGATGTGGATATAAAAATGTACGGAGAGGCAATATTGCAGATTTGTAGATTTTTCTACCAGACTCAAATGGTTTTCAAGCAGACATTTCTGTGATCATCAAATCCAAGTCTATCAATATACGCATTACAGCTTCAAATGAGCGAGCAATCAATCAATGTAGCACAAGTTTTATAGGGTTTTAAAGTCAACAACAAATTTTATAGTATAGATCCTAAACATCTTAATTAACGATTAAGAATTCTACTGTCCTGGAGAGACTCACATTTCAAATTTTTTTTTACCACCTAGCAATGCCACTGTGACATACCTGAGTTTCTGTGATCGATGAAAGAGGGGCACTTGGAGCAGTCCCTAAGGAGAGAAAAAAAAAAAAATGGAAATTACTTATTCAAATAATCTTTGGGGAAAAAAGTAGTAAAATTACAACTTTAAAAGAGGAACGGTCACTTCTTTGGAAAGTACCAATTAAATTAATAAGAAGAAAATGAATTATTTTAAAGATTACTTCTAACTTGTGTTAACCATTTGCTTTAAAATGTATATTAAAGAAGCAATTGATATTACACTTGTGCGTTCGGTTTTGGGAGAATTGCAATTCTTTCGGATTTAGACTGATCAGTGATCTGACCAAACATCGTATCTCCAAAGTGCTATATGGATGTATACCCGAGCAAACAAAATTGAGGTCTAGGTAACAGCCACTATAAGTAGATTTTATTAATAGATCAAGTGAGAAGTGACCAAAAGAAGATAAAAAGAAGATGCAGCAGTGTAAAAAAAATAAAATAAAAAAAGTATATATATATATATATATATATATATATATATATATATATATATATATATATATATATATATATATATATATATATTCATTCTTGATAAAAGTCCTGATACAAGCACTGAAACATTGACTTAGGGGATTGGACACAATAAAGAATACTGAAACTTATCACAAAGTCCTCTAGAGTGTTTTTGGAGATCTAAAGTTTGGTTGGAATTTGCACCGAGGTAAGGAACAAGACTGGAGAGTGGGTGCCAGGCCCATGGTGAATATATATATACACACAGGATTAGTAAGCACAATTCTAAAAAGATCAATAATAATATCAATGTGGTATGCTGGCCTCTCAACACTCCCAAGCTGCCGACAATGCCACCTCAAGGCAGGGTACCGTTCTCCTGGATCTAAGAAGACAGGTCGAAGACCTGGATAACCGCGGACGACGCAATAATATCCGCGTGCGAGGCCTGCCAGAACAAGCGGGGGAAGACCTCAGCGACATCCTGCAGCAACTTTTCGCGGATGTACTGGGAGAGGAAGCCCCAGACACCTACAATATTGAGAGAGCCCACAGAGCACTCCGACCCCCTAGGAACGACGGACCCCCCAGAGACATTATATGCTGTCTACTATCTTTTCAACTAAAAGAAGCCATTATGAAGGCGGCCAGATCACAAAACATCACGTATCTTGGCGCCCAGGTGTCCCTGTTTCAAGATCTCTCGCCCCTGACGCTGGAAGCCCGCCGAGCACTACGTCCACTTACCCGTATGCTGCAAGATAGGAGGATCCCGTACAGATGGGGACACCCTTTTAGCCTGCAAGCCCGGAAGGACAACGCATGGCGCACGCTGAGATGGCCGAACGAAGTCCCCGGGTTCCTGAGAGCCCTGGACCTGCCTGCGGTAGCCATACCTAACTGGATCTTGATGGGTCCACCACAGCATCCTGCGGGCCCCGCTGGTCCGACTCCGCCTAGCAACCGGAGGGAAAGGCCCCCACGGAGAGGGGGACCGGACGGCCCCGAAGAATAAAGCCCGGAGTCACATGGGTCTGAGATCCACCCTCCCCCGCGGGATGGCGGTCCCCCCTTCATCTGCACACCTGGCGGGTGCGGACACCCTGGACTTGCAGAGGTTTCTCCCATTGGCGGTATGTGCCTCCCCTCTCTGCTTTAAAACTTTGCCCCACCACAAGGCCCACGCTGGCTGGGTTGCTCCCATCCCTTCTCCCCCCGCCTGCTCCGGGATTTAACTGCCTCAGAACTCCAGCCCACGCCTTACGGACAAAACCCAGGACTCTTAGCCATCCAGAAAGCTACAGCGGGTGGGAAAAGCCTACTTGGGAGGAGGGATAGCAGACACGAAACTCACATGTGTGGAGGGCTAACTTACTCTACGATCATGGTCACTCCAACATAGGGGCGCGGGTGGGCCTTGGGCACACAACCTGGGCACTCATATCCCTCCACATGTGGCTGTTAAAGGTTCCCCTTACTAGTTTTGCTCGGGTGCAGGAGGGAAGTTCGTGGAACTAGCGGGCTTGGGGGACACAGAGGGAGCGGGCGGGGAGCGGGGCCGGGTGCCTGTTCGGGGTGGTGCGGGGAGAGGGGGGGGGGGGCGACACTACACCCCCTGTAGCCAACAAGATAGACACTACATACCTAGCCCAAGCATATAGGGGGGGCAATACACCAGGCCTCGGGTTAGGGAATAAGTGGGCCCGATAAACTGAGGCATCTAACTGGGCTAGTGGGACCTGAGACACAGACACAATGGGGAGGAGAGATCCTAGGTAGGCACCACAGACGTACCAGGGGGGAGCTGACACCCGCAGGGGGGACTAAAGAGGTGGGCGAGGACTGTTAGGGGTCCATGAGGCGGGACAGGCCTGGCTCCGGCCGTTTAATAGTATAGTACGTTAGGCCAAGTTTATGCTATAATGTTCAAGTTAACCCCTCCTAATTTATTCTATATTTTTTTTTTTCTTCTTCCCCCACTGTTACATAACTCTCTGATATATACACAAAGGGTCTGCAGCTCACGGCGGCGATGCGTTCTTGAGCGATTGGCTCCCCAGGCTCCGGTAACCCGAGCAACTCACTTGAGCCGGGCACAAGCAGTAGCCTCAATTTCCCCATGAGAATTTCACTCCACCTGGTTACTACAACCCCACACAACCGACTCGGCTTGTAAATTCGATCGGGCCCAGAGGTCTTACCGACCATAGATGGATCGGACGTCCCCTGGGGAACACGACCGATCTTGGGTCACTGTTGTCTTTTACCCCTGACCACACTATCCCCCACCCCCACACACACACCGACGGTCACCGACAGACTTGCTCTCCCCGACATCTCTCCTCCCCCCCACCACTTATTATATCTAACTTCTCTCCCCCCCTCTCTCTTTTCCCCTCATCCCCCTCCCACTTCCCCATCCCAGCCTGGCCCGCCTCTGCCACGATGTCTCAAAAATTTCAATCAGCCCCGCTTCGGTTCTGGTCCAACAACATAAGGGGCTTGAACATCCCCGAGAAGCGCACACATCTTCTGCGGACACTGTGGTCCCAGAAGGTCTCCGTGGCATTTCTGCAGGAGACCCACTTTAAAGATGGGTCAGCCCCCACATTACATGATAAAAGATTCCCCCAGGGCTTTTTCGCGAACCACCAGGACTCCAAAAAATCAGGTGTGGCAATTCTCTTCACAGGGACGGTGCCCTTCCAATGCACCGCCACACAGGTAGACCCGCTGGGACGGTTTCTCTTCATAAAAGGAACCATAGCAGAACGCCCGTATACCCTAGCTAATGTGTACTGCCCCAACCGGGGTCAACACACATTCCTGGCTAAGGCACTGTCCCGCTTAGACAAATTCAAGGAAGGCTTACTGATACTAGCGGGTGACTTGAACACCCCTCTGGACCCCCGAGTAGACACGTCAAGGGGTGACAGCACCATCCCAGACCACTGCATACGCAGGACCAAACAAACACTCAACAGACTAGGCCTATCCGACTGCTGGCGGGCGGCACACCCGGACAGCAGGGATTATACCTGCTACTCTGCCCCCCACAATCAATACAGCAGGATAGATTACATCTTTATCGCGCAAGAGTTCCTCCCCCTGCTTATCACCGCAGACATTGGGATCCAAGGAGACTCTGATCACGCCCCTGTGTCCATCCAGATTCAAATCGCCCCTCTTCAAGCCACGGGAGCGCCATTGGCGATTAAACGAAACCATACTATCGGATACAGAATGCTCTAGGCTGACCACACAGGTCCTTACCCAATATTTTGAAACAACCACCACCCCGGACGTATCCCCTCTGACAACCTGGGAGGCGCACAAATGCGTAGTCAGGGGGCACTACATAAATCTTTGCACACAACGCAAACGGGAGAACACCAGACGCATCCTGGAATTGACTAAACAGATAACTGAACTCGAATCCACCCATAAAAGGGATTTGACAGAAGACATCTACCTCCAACTGACCAACGCGAGAAGACAGCTTAGGGACATACTCTCACAGAAGCTGCTTAAAGTGGTACGCAGCTCACACCGCTTTTTTTATGAACACTCGAATAAATGCGGTAGACTGCTGGCCCGGACTTTGCAGCAGAGACGGAGGCAAACCCACATTCACAAAATAAAAGCCCATGGCCAACAGGAAACGAGACTGCCAGCAGAGATCCTACAGGCATTCAGGGAATACTACACAAGCCTATATAACCTGGCCGACACGCCCAGCGCACTTTTCCCCGCACAACACAAACGCGAGCTAACAGACTTCCTCACCAAACACGTCACCCGGAAACTCACCCCCGACCAAGCCGCGAACATGGAACAGCCCCTGTCCCTGGAGGAACTAACTGCGGCGCTTAAACTAACCAAATCAAACAGGGCGCCGGGTCCAGATGGTCTCCCTGGGAGCTACCTTTGCACATTTAGAGACGTTCTGCTGCCGCACCTGTTGACAGGCCTGAACTCACTGCTAGAGGGCGAACAGTTCCCGATGGACACCCTCAGGGCCGTGGTTACGGTCCTACCTAAAGAGGGAAAAGATCCAGCCTGCTGTGCCGCCCCATTTCCCTCCTGAATGCAGACCTAAAGTTGTTTGCGAAGGCCATGGCCCTCCGTCTTGCCGGGGTGCTTCCCTCACTGGTCCACCCGGACCAGGTGGGCTTCATCCCAGGCAGAGAATCACGGGACAACACCATACGGGCCCTCAACATTATCCACTCGGCTCGAAGGCAGGGTCGGCGTCTTACTCTCCTCTCCACGGACGCTGAAAAGGCCTTCGACCGAGTGGACTGGGCCTACCTCGCAGCCACCCTACAACACATGGGACTCGGACCTAATATCCGAACATGGATAGCGGCACTCTACACGACACCCACGGCTCGAATACGAGTCAACGGTGCCCTCTCAGAGCCATTCCCTATAAGAAATGGCACACGACAGGGGTGTCCCCTGTCCCCCCTGCTGTTCGCCCTCTCCCTGGAACCGTTCCTGGAGGCGGTCAGGATGGACGGGGGAATCACAGGACACACAATAGGGAACGTAGAACATCGGGTAGCGGCATACGCCGACGACCTGCTGTTCTTCCTGGGACAACCCCTGATCTCCATCCCAAACACACTAGGCCTATTCCAACGATTTGGAAGGATCTCGAACCTGAAACTCAACACCGACAAGTCGGAGGCCATGAACATCGCGGCCCCAGCCGCACTCGGTGCGCAACTACGCTCCCACTACGGGTTCAGATGGTGCGGTACCAAATTGAAATATCTCGGCATTTGGTTGACCAAAGACCTCTCACATCTTTACCAGGCTAATTTTGCCCCAATCCTCACCTCCCTACAGGCTGACTGACCTCTACATTTCGTGGTTCGGTCGTATTAACGCAATAAAAATGAACATCCTCCCGCGCATTCTGTATCTCTTCCAGACAATCCCGATCACCGTCCCTCGGGCCTTTTTCCACAACATTTCCACCGCGATTCGACACTTCGTATGGAAAAGAGGAGCTCCGAGAATCAGCAAGCTCCAACTGGAGCTACCCAAATTGCAGGGGGGAGCGGGACTCCCCTCGATCATTGGCTACTACCGAGCAACCCATTTGCTGAGGGTCACTGACTGGCACTCGCATCCAACGGAGAAACTATGGGTGCAGGCAGAACTAGCTCAGGCCGAGGGGAAAATACCCTCGGAACTATGGAGGACGGGAATTACACCGAACGCCCTCAACACCGGCAATCCTCTGATAGCCGCAACCCTAAAAGTATGGTGCGCTCTCCGATTCCCCTACCAGCTGACGACACATAGCAACCCGCTTACACCCCTCACCCATAACCCAGACATTGGAGGAGGACTGTCACCCGCAGACCTAAGAAACTTTGGCCGGTCCGATTGGTCCTATATACACCAATGGTGCAACAACAGCGCACTGAAAACCCTACCCGAACTAATCCCTGATACTGCACCAACGATGCTCGACCGGTTCAGATATCACCAGGTCAAATCCTTCTACAACTCCGCGACAGCCAAACAGCAATTCCACCGAGACCCCACATATTTTGAAAAAATATGCATCAGTAGACGACACATCGAGAGAGGGATCTCGACGCTATATGCACTGCTATTGGAGGGTGAGAATAGACCACCACCGAAATACATCGCCAGATGGGAGAGGGAGACGGGGGAGGTACTTGAGGCCCGTGAATGGGATAAAATATTCCTACTCACACACAAAAGCTCTATTAGCTCAAAATTTCAGGAGATGAGCTATAAACTACTAACCACCTGGTACCGAACCCCTGACATACTGCATCGCATGAACCCGGACAATGACGAAAAATGCTGGAGATGCGGAGCAGAGAGAGGCACCATGATCCACATATGGTGGACCTGCCCAGCCATCATCCCATTCTGGGAGATGGTAAACACCAAAATACGAGAGATATCAGACCCTGAGCTCCCACTTCAACCCCTACCCATGCTACTACATCACACCAGCATTTCGCTGCAAACATACAAAAAATCCCTCACTAGACACCTACTGACTGCAGCTAAATCATTGATACCCACCCTGTGGAAAAAAAACGACTTCCCCCGCCTTCCAACAATGGGTGGATAGAGTGGGAGAAATACATTCCATGGAGTCCATGACAGCAGCCCTCCGGGGCCATTCGGAGAAATGCCACCTAACCTGGACCCCCTGGATCCTATACACCGCGGCAGCAGGCTCAGCCTCATGAAAAACTTCGCTCCGATAAGTAACCGATGCCCTCTCCCGCCTTACTCCTAATCTTGCTTCCTCTTTTCCCCAGCTAGACTGCACCCGCCACCCCACCCCATATAACCCCCTCATCCTCCTGACTTCTGCTTGACCAGACCACCCCACACCACGTACTTGACTGAGACATTCAATCCAAGAGAACATGTACAGATGTACCATACCAAACACGGATCCACAGAGGGACAGTAGATAGAACTCACAAAAGCGATATTAAGGGACAGAAACACACAAGATACCCTAAACACCCAAAAATCTAATGGCCCATAAGCTAGATCCACCGCACAATAGACCCCACAGCTTTTAGCCCCAGAAGCAACCCAACAACACACATGCAATACCACCTGCTAGGCTCGCACACCCGCGGGACATATCTCTTACTCATGCTCCCCCAACCACAGAAAAGAACATTCCTTCCAGGGTTCGTACACCTGGACACAGGTGGGACGGGACAGGACACCCTAGCCACAACATTTGAAAAGCCCTAAACAAACCTGCCGGGAAGCCCCGCCACAAGCAGACCCACCCACACATACAGCCTCTACATACTTGCACTTGGCTGGGCCCCACACCCCTCCCACGAATATCACGCCCTGAGCTGCAAGAAGTCCCAAATGGTTGGGGGTATGAGAATATCAAAGACATAGGACACTCACAGATACAGAACAGGTCGAATTGCACTAGATAATGGGTATACCCACAGCTCTCAACTACTGTGTGATCTATAAACACGGAAATGGGTATTGTTATGCTATTATGGATATCTATCACTGCATTGGTGCAATACAAATAACTGTTTGACTTCCCACCCTTTTCCCTTCTGTACACCCATCCTTTCAAAATTGTAAAACTGAATACATAAATAAAGATTGTCAAAAAAAAAAAAATAATATCAATGTGGATATAAAATGTACGAAGAGGCAATATTACAGATTTGTAGAGTAGAGTTCATATATATATAATATGACATAATATTACTTAATAGAAATTCATTTTATAATTTTTTTTATAATTTTTACTTTTTTTTAGAAAATGGTAATGCTGTCCTTTAAAAAAAAAAAAATAATAATCTTCATTAAGTGCAGGTTAAGGTCTATGCATACACAAGTCTTGAAAATATAATAGATGATAGCATCATATTAGAGACAGATCAGTAAAATGAATGTAGAATCCAGATTTCCAGAGGGCTTTGATACAGACAGGAAGGTTTCAAGGTTGAGTGATTTCAGCAATGCATCAGGGCACACACAGGCATGCAAAAAGCACCAGACTCCGAGAAGTCACATGTCGACCAAGAAAGGAAGTCACAACTTGACCTTGATTTATCCAATTGTTACAGAAAACAGCTGGCGGGTTAGCTTCTGAGCCAAGGTAATTCTAGCCAGCTGATTTATGGCATTCGTTTTATGCTCAACCAAACAAATGGGCCTCATTCACAAAAAGTACAACAACCAAAAAAAAAAAAAAAAGCCACATTCAAATACACATAAAAAGCACAAAATATATATATATATATATATATATATATATATATATATATATATATATATATATATATATATATATATATAAGGTTTAACCATCACCTGGAACATTCATGATTAACATTTGGAGTCCAGCTGTAATCTTCTATAGAAGACAAGTAATAGATTTAAAAAGGTCCAATCCACCATTTTTATTTTGTTTTTCTTCAATAGTTTTCTGTAGATTATTCACTCGACTTGTTTTTGTTTCTCTTTTTTATCGTTTGTCACTCCAATCTGCTTCCTTACTTCTTACCTAGAATTGCTTCCTATCCCTTCCACATGAAGACCACCTATCTCCATACAGATTTCTCGCCATTTACCTGTCCCGTTCTCGATCTGTGCTTCATTTTATGCAAGAGGGCAGCCCCCATCCATTTGACCGCTTCTGCTTCCTCTCAATTTTCATTTCCATTCTTTTTACGATCTGTATCCCATTCCCTGCTCTAACCAGCAAATAAGATAAGATTCCTGTCCACAATTGCTTCAGTTAAAATTCTTAACATATATTGATGTCCATACTGGCTAAATTTGGATAATATACGATGTGGTCATGGGGTGAAGAATGACAAAAACCTCCCACATTTACTCAGTGCCACAATAAATTGCCCAGTAGCCCAGGAGGCCCGACTGCCACCTCTGAACCAATGGTGGCACTTGTACCATAAGTTCTCCATGACTGACCTTGATTTAGAAGGTCACAGTTGGAAATTCTTACCTTATTACAATGGAGTCATATGTCTTGAGATAACACTTCCACCAGTCTTGAAAGACAATCGCCATACCCGATTGGATAAATTGGCACATTCACCTAATATCTCTTCATAAATATTGCCGTGACAAGAGTGTCATCTATCCCCACTGTCTTCTGGACTACAAAGGGCTCAAGGGTGATGCTAATATACTCCAAATGTTTGAAGAAAGAATCTTTTTAAAAGGATAACACAGATTTACTATAATGTTACCTCATTTGCTATCAAGCAAACAAACTTTGGAAAACACGCATTGTGTAACATCTACAGCTTGTTTTGGATACGGTTCAGCTAAATCTTTTCACTAATGCTCTTATACCTCTACTGTAGACCCTGGGTGGGGTGAAGGGTGACTCAAAATGTTAGCACTATGAGCAGGCCGGATACATGTGGTTGATAAGGAGAGAATGCTCAAACGCTTCTAACACTGCATTGTTTGCATTTTATTTAGCGTCCCACACAACCAATCCCAGATTAAATAAATGTTCTCGTAAGCCCTGGGCTGCCAAAGCCTAGACATGAATACATTACACAACAAATTTCACTTCAGCCTGCACTTTGTTTAATCAGAACACTAGAATCTCTCTGGTGACTAAACTGTCCCTTTAATGCAGGAAGTCTATTAAAAATGCATGCTGGAAAACTGCATTGATTCAGTGACTGTCCTCCACCGTTGCGTTATTTGTCGTTCTAAGCACAAGCCAACAATGGAGTTACCGGTATTACCTCATTTTTTTTTTTTAAACATACCAGTAATTAAAAGTTACTCTAATACTTTACATTTCTCAGATATTAAAATATAATATGAATATGCAATATTTTCAGAGAAATCTTATTTTACTGTAAAGTTATTATTATTATGCAAAAACAGTTCAAGCATAATCGTAAAAATATATAAATCGTGCTAAAAGAAAAAAAATTATTGAAACCAAAACGTTATTGTAATACTTGTGTATCATTATGTGTACATTAATAGTTTATTTTAGAGCTTATTTATGGTTATTTTTGCTCAGTCAGAGAAGCCATCTTTAAGTCCTGTTTGATCAGAAGTGAATACCATGTGTTTAACGGAGATCTGGTGCATGGTCAAAGATCCCACCATGTGCAAACAGAATCTCAAAAACATGCTTATTCACTTCACCTGTCAGTGGTTTTAAATTTTGTGGCTGATCAGTGCATATGAGACGTGAGATTATTTCTTTTTCAGTACTGCACTCCACAGAAATGGTTTACAATGAAATGCTTAAAAGATATACGTTTGCATTCCACCTGTGGCGTGTTTACATGGAACCTGAAATTAACAGCTGAACAAACAACGTAAAACAAACAAAGATTCACTAGACGTAAAGCAGGACATGGCTCTCTATCACAAGGAAGCAGGAAGTCTTCTGGCCGGATGCAATATACCAGGCAGTACTGGTACCTAAAGGGCCCAGGGTTTATGTAACACAATCCCATGTGGTTGTACAAATATATTCAGGAATTCTCTTTTTTTTGTTTCTCAAGTCTATAATTATTCTCACCTGCTACATATTGATAAATACTTTTGACTGTAATTTTTGAGGAATTCAGAGTAAATTCCAAATTTAAGGCCAAAGTAGTTGAACTGGGAGCATAGCAGGCACGAAGAATTTTTCACATTCAGCTATTTTGGCCTTCCATTCAAATTCACTTTGAATTCACAACAGTTTTCGCTTTAGAGAGTACCCCTGTTAAACTAGGATACAGACCATTTATGGACGATTAAACTACATTTTTAGTAGGTATCGGATTTTCATCACATGATTGTTGTACCGTTTGATATTCTATATTTAAAATTGTTTTCATACACATATTTAGGAAGAATCCCAGAAATGCTATCTTTGATGATCATAAACATAACTTGTCATTATTATTCTGAAAAGTACTTTTCACTTTCAGAGATCCTGACAACCTCTCCAAAACCGCTATATTAAAAAGAGCATGTCGGGTTTGATGGAGGAGGCCATCAACAAGAGGATACCGTTAATAACAGGTTTCGGAGTACAGGATCCGCTAACCTTTTCTGGGTAGATGGGACTGCTTTACTGAGGAGGTCTCCATGGGACCATAGGATTCCCAGAACAGCCAGCATACAATGCACATCTGGTCTTTTGAAACTCTTGTTATGGAAGCCTTCTGGGCTCCCAGGACTTTGCACTCCTATTACTCTGCTGCTCTCTGTGTTATGTGGTCTGCCAATTGTTAGAGTGTATAATCCATGGCCCATGCTCAACTGGATTGACGCCGAGGTTGAGTGACTGACTTGATAGGTCATGAAAATTAGGGACATTCTATATTCTTCACAAAATAAAAAATATATATTTTATGCTTTAGCACTGGAGACGCTGCTCTTAATTTATTTGTTTTTCCTAAACTGGGTTGCATTCAAAAGTTTGGAGACTAGAGTTCTATAGCATAGGCAGCCCTTAAAAACAATAAACAACATGCAGACAGATCATTCCTACACGGAATTAAAGACCTCTGCATATAATGGTAAGTATCCTCTAGCTGTATGGACCAAATAAACAACGGCAAGTAGAGTAGAGTAGAATAGCCAATAAGACATCAATATGGGCATCTGCCTATGATCAAATGGTTATCAGAGATCATACCGCCTTAAAGGTACACTCCACTTTAAAAATGAGAAGGGGATATAAAATTAAAAATTACAAAATAAATTTTTTTTTCAAAAATGCACGTGAGAAAGAAGCAAACCTCCCTGACTGTCCGATTGGCAGCCAGGGAGGTGTTTCCTCATTTATAAAAGTGCCGATTTCTAATAGATAAATGGGATTTAAAATAGGATACGGAAGTGTGCATACTGGTTCTTTAAAAAGACTCTCTGGGCACCAATATAAGCACATTTTATAGCTTTAGGCCTTATACGCATTATGTATTTTTCTACCTTTTCAAGTGTCTGTAGGTTTGCTGTACCTTTCTGCCCAGTAACCCGATACTTCCGCATGCCTGGTCTTTTCACAAACCATCTTTCTCTTCCTTACCTGTAAAACCATATTCCTTTACAAATTACAACACAACCCGATGATTACAGTGTGTCAAGGTTTGTATCTGCTGTCCTTTCATGAAGGAATGCCAAAAAACGTGCATCAGCGAAAAATCTCTCCATACGTGTTACAAAAGGATAAAAAGGGACATTGAATTAGCTGTCAAAGCCTGCCTGATCATGTCACCTGCTTGGCATCATGTAATTACACGGGCACAGTGCTTGGTTACAAGGGTGGCGCCGTGTCTGTCTCACTCATTTTTGTGTAGTAATCAGCACATTTGACAGTGTATCTTAAGGTTGAAAAGAATGCCAAGATAATAGGATTTTGCAACGATTTGCAATCCAAGTTGAAAATTCTAAAAAATGATTTTTTCCCCAATTGCACCATTTAGGGAATAAAACCACTAGATTGCACAATAAAATAGTTTGCTTAAAGCATTATAGAATCTCAATGAGGTGTGCGTTAAATGGAACATTAATCATAGGCTATATACTACCTCTCACAATTATAGAGAGTGAGAAAAAAAAAAAAAAAAAAAACAACATTACAGCAATTAATTATAGTTCGAACATTTGCTGTGGCGCAATATAAAGATTAAATGATACAAGATTTAAAAAAAACTACGACCAAAAACACCCCCCCAAAAAACCCTGATTAAACACAAATAACAGGTGCAGATAAGAATTCAAAAGAGCTCGGATAGGCAACCTTCGGCACTCCAGATGTTATGGACTACATTCCCCATAATTCTCTTTCACCCATACTCCTGGTAAAGCATCATGGGAGGTGTAGTCCAAAACATCTGGAGTGCCGAAGGTAGCCTATGCCTCTAGATGCAGGCATAGGTAACCTTCGGCACTCCAGATGTTTTGGACTACACCTCCCATGATGCTTTGCCAGTATTATGGGTGTAAGAGCATTATGAGGGATGTAGTCCACAACATCTGGAGTGCCGAAGGTTGCCTATGCCTGATCTAGAGGATATGCTTAAAATTAAGCTGTATTAAGTATGTTCATCAGCATCATTGACTCGTGACCTACTTGCTTTGAAAATAGTTTTTTTTTTTTTAAATGGCTTCTCGTGAATATGAATCTTATAGAAAAACATTTTAATAATAACTTGAAATAATTAAGTAAAGTTTCCTTTGAAAGCAGTAAGCAAACCTGAGCTGAACGTTTAAAAAAAATATATAATAATTATTATTATAATAATAAGTCATGGTGACCTTGCACAGCCTTCCATAAACACTTCCTGTAAAGAGAGCCCTATTTAGGCTTTCTTTATTGCAAGTTCTGTTTAATTAAGATTTTCTTATCCCCTGCTATGTTAATAGCTTGCTAGACCCTGCAAGAGCCTCCTGTATGTGATTAAAGTTCAATTTATAGATTGAGATACAATTATTTAAGGTAAATTACATCAGTCTGAAAGTGAAACCAGGTTTTTTTTTCATGCAGGCTCTGTCAATCATAGCCAGGGGAGGTGTGGCTAGGGCTGCTTAAACAGAAACAAAGTGATTTAACTCCTAAATGACAGTGAATTGAGCAGTGAAATTGCAGGGGAATGATCTATACACTAAAACTGCTTTATTTAGCTAAAGTAATTTAGGTGACTATAGTGTTCCTTTAATGACCGATACAAAAAGACAAGTCTGCAGATAGCACATTATAACAATATGATTTGTAAGCGAGTAGATTTCTACAGTACTTTATGAAACTATAGAGTTTTAAAAATAATATATGATGACAAAAAAAAAAAAAAAACCTGAATATATTTCTATTTCTTTCTTGATAGAAGATTCATAGGCATTGCAAGTTTTTAATCATGGTTTAATCGATTGTAAAAGCATTTGCTGTTTTAGATTAAATTCCCCTGCAGTTAGAGGATTGGTAGTGATTATTACATTAGTAGTGATGTTAAAAAGCAAATTGCTCTGGTGTAACGTTAATGCTTTAATCATGTGTATTTATGCATTTTAGAAACGGCTGGCTAATTAAAATTGCAGATTCTGGATTTCAGTTCCAGACTGGTCTCTCAGTCAGTTCATTTTATCTTTATTATGGTCCTGCTTATTCTTTTTTCAGTGGGATTTTTATTTACTAAACTGAAAAGGGACGTTTAGCAGAAAAAAATAGCGGTTTAAGAATATTTTGGACAAAAAAAAGGTTAAACCAACATTCCAAACACCATAACCACTACAGTGTGCCCTGGCACCTCCCCGCACTCCAATGTAAGAAGTCAAACAATTTCTCATCTGCTGTCTGCCAGGGGTTGTTCACCTTCTCTCTGGAGAGGTAAGAGCTCCTGTATGGAGCTTCTGGTAGCATGTCTCAGCTAAACCCTACTCTGCAGGGCCAGCTGATTGGCTACTTAAATTAGGGGAAAGGGATGACAGGACATTCCTGGCACCATAACCACTACAGCATACTTCTTGTTGTGTTCTTTTACCTTGATCCTATAGTGAAGGCGTACCCGAAAGGAAGATTCCTCAGATGTTGCGGAACTACAACTCCCATGATGCTTTGCATGCTTTTAGAATGACAAAGCATTATGAAAGTTTTCGTTTTAAAACATCTGGGCATCTACCATTTTGGCACCTCTGCTACGGTGGTTTCCTTATCAGAATAAACTCAATCTCCCAGAATTCTCTATATTCTCCAGTCACCAGACGTATTTCCTGACAATCTCTAATTATCCAGTCAGTCCTGGGCTGGGTGTCCGAATGTATCTTTCTCCTTGTATATAGCTCTTCATAGAACCCAACATTCTCATAGAAAGGTCTTGCAGCCGTAGCCCCTTGCTGCTATACATTTAACTTCCTGTGAATAATAGACACCAGATAAATCTCACCGCAGCCCCTATTCTGAGATAACCATCTTTTCCATTTACTTTTGAAATGCACTCAGCCAGCTAAATTTAAAACAGTTATTCTTGAGTCCAGGTAGCGGATTGATGATAATTGCTAATTATTGACTGACCTTGTACTCACGATGAGAGGAATGTCATTTAAGAATTTTATACTCTTGTTACATCTGTGCTTGGTTTTCAAGTTAATTTAATCAACGCAGGCAAATCTCATATTCTACACTTCATCGCCCCTGTCAATAAGCTATGCTGCAGTTATCTGTGTGATTATTACATACATTCCCATGTCCCTATCACTTCCTGGTGCCGCAACTATCGACCCTCTTCACGTGCCCTTGTCGTGTCTCTCCCTCCTTGGTTCCATTTATCCAGATGCTCATCAATGATCCAGGTTATCCTAATTGTGTACTAATAAAATGATTTAGCTCTTTAATTTAACTAAGCACCCATAAACCCAACATGTTTCATTAACAAAAATTTAAAAGTTAAACTGGTACCAAAGAACCCCGACACCAGCCGAAGTACCCCACAGTAAGTGGCTTTATTTATTTTTCCCATATTTATACAAATTGAGGGGCAACGTATGAAAGGTTGTGCCCTATGGTATGTAGTAATCAAACGCTGCTGGTAGTAAATCGATTAGGCAATCCAAAGCATATAAATTCTACATACTCCAGGGCGGTGTTTTCATTAGCTGCCAATCAACACAATGAATTTGGTACACACACACACACACACACCACCGACTGAGAAACGGTGTTAGATTTAGAGAAAAAAAAAAAAATCAATATGTCAACAGTAAACAGAGAGGCGGTCACAGGTTTGCGGAGTCATTATTACAAACAGGTGGATTGTTTAAATAATCTAATGATAGCATCGAGGCAATCATGTGTTAATTAAAAAAAGAGCTTGACTCAAAAACAGAGTCACGTGCGCAAGCTCACATGGAATGATTTAGTTCTTCAGGTCGCATGAATCTGTATGACTACTCCCTACAGGCATCTGTACATTAAGATGTATTGTAATTAATAAACGTATACACAGAAAGGTGTGAGATAAAACCCATTAGTATGGAACTTTAACCCCTTAAGGACACATGACATGCGTGACATGTCATAATTCCCTTTTATTCCAGAAGTTTGGTCCTTAAGGGGTTAAAGGAACAGTCCAAAACACCTAAAGCACTTTAGCTTGCTGTGTGCAGAGTGTGAGCGCTTTTTCATTTTTTTTGAAAAAGTGCAGATATCAGTCGAAATTAGCATCTGTAATAATAGAGGTCTTGGCAACTAGAGGTTTTTAAACTACCTTTCCCATTATGCAAAGACAATTTTACAGCTGGCTGAGCATCTTAGAAAATGCAGCTCAGGAACTTGTTCAATATTACGGCTAAGTATCAATGCAAGGCGCAATGTCAGTTGACTTTAAGAGGAGATAGGACACATAGGAACAGGCTAGTAATGTGCTGGGACAAGAGAGGGAGCGGGTCTGCATTGGGAGAGGGCAAGTGGAAAATGGGTGGTGTCATGCCAGCACGCATCAGGATGACGGCTCCTATAAGGCAGCTAGCAACTGATTCCCATATGCAAGATGTGTTGTACTTCGTGGGAACGTTTGTCTGGTATCCACAAAAGTGGATCATCAGAGAGAACAAACAAACCCGAGATTGGGACTGTCCATTTAAAAGCAGGACTGTTGGCAAGTATGGGAGCAGGCTAGTCAGTTTATACGTTCCATTAGAACAATACCATCAAGTGTGTTGGTATCTTTGTTGTTTCTGGTAATAGGATGGAGATTTTTAGTGGGTAGTACCTTTTTCCATGCAATAAGTTGGAAAGGTTGAATAATTCTACGCAATTTGCCAAAATTCCCATATTCTAGATCTAACATTTGTAATTAAAGAATTGCGTTTTAGAAAGCAGGATCAGTGATAGAGAATGTTAGATAATTTTATTTCGGATTTGTTTATATTGGCCAAAGTATACATAATTCATACATGCTTGGAATTCATTTTGCCAGCCTGGATAGATAGATAGATCTCTTACGCACGTTTATCAACACAAACTCTCAGTACAATGTAAATCTATACTGCGAAATGCACATTCAGCCTCACAGCGGATCATTAAGCATTCACAATCCTGCTGGGCAGAAATGGCTTTTGCGGGAGTTGGAGGGATGGAAGTGTTTTTGATAATGTAGAATTAAAATTGGGCAGATTGCATAATCTGATTGTCACACCAGGTGATAAAAAAAAAAAAAGGTTTTTTTTCCCCACTTAAAAAAAAAAATGGAATTGTAGAACATAGGTGAGGGTGCTTCAGAGATTAATTAAAGTAGTCAACCTTTTTAAATTTGCAATTATTTTGTCCAATCTTTCAATTTTTCTGATAATAAATTATTTTATTTAACAAAAAGGAGTGGTGTCAGAATAGCAATATTAACCTCTTCATGGCTGTTGAGAAGCCTGGCAGTCCTGATAAATCGATTTGTCTAACTTCTTTGTCATGAAGGGTTAAAGGGTAATTAGGGATCATATTATTTCACTTTACAAATTGACCTTTTATTATTGACTATACGTTGTAAAAAGGTCCCTGGGGTTAAAATACATATAAGAAAAGTCAGGTGCCTCTCTGGGGCCAAGAAAAAGTATGGAAGTGGAGGGGTTCTGATCCTGGGATGTTGTGACATGGCCCATGCTGTATATTATGTAAACAAATGACAAGTGCGTGCTTATTACAATCTAGTAAACCATCAGGGCAAATTACAGAGTATGTGGGATCACAAGTAGCAGGTAACATGCAACTCAGTTCTGTCACCCCAATATGTGCAGACAGGGATTCCACACATAGAACGTTCACAAATCCAAACATTCTACTTCCCCAGCCAGCCCATCCCACTAACATGGGAAGAATTGCAATTATAAACCGAATTAAATCATCTTTAAGATCTAAAATCACCTATACTGGGCACACAGTGACTGTTGTAATGCTATTAGGACTTTGGCCATTTAAACATTATAAATCTGCTTATTCTGCTATAAATTAGGTTGAGCACGGGTTTCTGTTATGTTAGATGAAGACATACCCTCTACAGTGACCCATGGAATGTACATCCTATCTTTATGCCATCTCTTTATTCTCCATACCTCCAGGACTAGATTGCAAGCTCTTGGGCTCAGTGATGCAGACCCCTGGCTATATCAGTCCATGATGACGGTAAGTGATGGGTGTGACTTACCCTGGGTGTGCTGGGGCTCCGGTAACACGGTGACTGTGCCATCTCGGTGCAGGATCAGAGAGGAGGGGTCCCGGATTCTGCATTGGGGGCTCCTGGTGGTATCCCCCCCAGCCAGCCCCCGGGAGCACTGATAGCACACGGCCCACGCCTGCTCCTCATTGATCGGCTGCTCGTAGGATTTCAGCACCTGCTCCAGGGACAGCTCCCCGCACCCCTCTCCGAAACCCCCGCCGCCACTGCTGCTGCTCTCCTGGGCCATCCGGGCAGCTCCATCACCGGGCCGCTGGGCCCCCATTCACCGGGCTACTCTCCATCGCTGAGCCGGGCGGGCGGGGAGGGACCGGTCAGAGGCAGCAGCACCGCCTCCTTCTCTGCCTCCTACCGGGGCCCTATCACCAGCAACAGCAATGGGAGGGAGCAGCCTGCAAGGGGTGGGATGGGGGTAATTTACAGAGAGAGGATGGAGGGGGGGGCAAGTTACAGGGGCAGAGGATGGAATGGGGGCACCCAAGTTACAGGGGCAGAGGATGGAATGGGGCAGAGGATGGAATGGGGGGCAGAGGATGGAATGGGGGGCAGAGGATGGAAATGGGGGGGCAGAGGATGGAAGGGGCAGGGGATGGAATGGGGGGGGGGGTTACAGGCTGGATGGGATAAGGATGGGGGGGCCGTTACAGGGCTGAGGATGGAATGGGGGGGGGGGCAAGTTACAGGGGCTGGGGATGGAATTGGGGGGGCAAGTTACAGGGGGAGAAGGTGATGTTTGCTCTGAGGATGAGGAAGCAGTAGTTCCAGGTGGGTTCTGGAGAAGCTATCCCAGGATGAGGTAGCAGTAGTTCCAGGTGGGTTCTGGAGAAGCTATCCCGGGATGAGGTAGCAGTAGTTCCAGGTGGGTTCTGGAGAAGCTATCCCAGGATGAGGTAGCAGTAGTTCCAGGTGGGTTCTGGAGAAGCTATCCCAGGATGAGGTAGCAGTAGTTCCAGGTGGGTTCTGGAGAAGCTATCCCAGGATGAGGTAGCAGTAGTTCCAGGTGGGTTCTGGAGAAGCTATCCCAGGATGAGGAAGCAGTAGTTCCAGGTGGGTTCTGGAGAAGCTATCCCAGGATGAGGTAGCAGTAGTTCCAGGTGGGTTCTGGAGAAGCTATCCCAGGATGAGGAAGCAGTAGTTCCAAGTGGGTTCTGGAGAAGCTATCCCAGGATGAGGTAGCAGTAGTTCCACGTGGGTTCTGGAGGAACTATCCCAGGATGAGGAAGCAGTAGTTCCAGGTGGGTTCTGGAGAAGCTATCCCAGGATGAGGAAGCAGTAGTTCCAGGTGGGTTCTGCAGAAGCTATCCCAGGGTGAGGTAGCAGTAGTTCCAGGTGGACTATGGAGGGGTTAACCCAGGAAGAGTTAGCAGAAGTGACAGGTGTAGTTAAAAGAGGAGGTGAGCAGTGAAATTTGAATTGTGCAGAGTGTGGATTTACAGCCCATCCCAGGTTCAAAGCTCATTTTAACAGAGATAAATTGGTGTGGTCTGGCACTGTGCCTTCACCTCACCTTCTAGGTACACACGTTGTATGCTGGCAACCAGGTGACACAGAAGGTATTAATAAATCTACAAATAATACACTAAACTGCACCCTTTCACTGCTGGAAGCCTGTTGTGGGACCATTTAGCAGGGCAGTAAATGAGTTAATCAGTTTATTATACAGACACAAGGTGTGTGAGGGCAGATTAGCAGCTCTATATACATAGCCAGCACACCCCCTACCTCTGTATACTAGTAAAACTAACAATATCACGGTTATTTACTAATGTGTGAAATATTGGATAATGAAAGTGAATTTCAAGTTGTCGGTCAAACTAGCAGAGTTGGAAAAATTCAACAATTTCTCAGTTTAGCTTTTTTTTTTTTTCTTTACAATTTTACATTAATTTTGAATTCAATTTTGACTATTGGGGAATTGTCAGTAACTTAAAGGTAAATATAGCGGAAGTTCTAGAACGTTGGTGTAAAATTTAAACCCTACTTTGAATTCACCTTGCAAGCGTCCAGTCTTACGAAATGGAGCAGGCTACCTACCTTGGACACAAAAAATGGGTAACTCAACGCTTATGATATTTACTGCTTAATTAAACTGGGAATAACACCTTATCACACAACTCGTTACCTTTTTTTCATGTTTTCTGATTTCATTTAATTAAAAATTAAGTTTTAGCAAATTACAACTAAATCCAGTTCAGTCCAATCTCAGCCAGGACAAACATTGACAATGCAGAAGATACTCTTAGTACCCCTACTCTTTATAATATCTCTATGCAGACTGCCATGTGCAAAGGACAGAGCTTCAAACAATGATTGACAGGGAGCAAAGATGGAGTCACCCAGTTGCAGGACAAAATTGTGTGGATTCACACACAGTGCTGATGGGCAGTGTATGAAAAGGGCTGCCCACAATAACATCCTGGAAAAGTAGTATAATTTCCTTTCAGATTTTAACCCCTTAAGGACAACTTCTGGACTAAAAGGGAATCGTGACGGAATATTTCCATCATGTGTCCTTAAGGGGTTAAATTGATTAATGGATTTCACTCTGATTGCTTACGACAAGACATTAAAAGTCTAAAATTCTGATGATTCTGGCTTCTACTACCACCTCAAACTAAAGTGTCCTAATTCTACCTGGGTGCTTTCCTAAGTTATGAGGAAAATGTACATCTAAATCCACAGTTTTGAAAGCATGCAAGATTGCTTGTTATTTTAAGGGATGTACATTTTAAATTTCCAAGTAATCTGTTAAATCTTGGTAAGGCCTAATCATGTGAATGGGGTTTTAAACTTAACTTGAAATTGGGACCAGACAAACTTATTCTAAGGCCAAATTAGTTTAAATTTTCAGAATGTATTATTTTGGCCTTAAAGGCACAATTGTTGGTTTAGTAATTAACCTGTTAATCATTTTACATATTGTCCATAATTTCTTTAAAATGCGTTTTTATGTCTTTTCCTGCCCCGCCTATAGTTATCCCTCTTTCTTCTGATATGTGTAAACTGTTATAGCAAAGTTTTGTTTCCCTGCGTTGTATACATGTACACAGTAACTAAGCATCGACGTTAACAGAACACAATTACAAAATACCACTCATGGCAGGCTATTACTAACCAGATGACATAGCAGGTCTGTTCTTACTGACTAGCTGTTCACTATTAGACTCTGATGGGTGGGGAGGTTAAATTTAGGGATCAGAGATACGGGACAGCCCAGTGGGTCTTAACGAGTGATAAACACTTACAGGGTTATTTACTTAAAGGCAAATTTGTCAAAAATTCTAAGTGAATTTAAGGTCAAAGTAGTCGAATTGGAAAAATTACCTAAATCCGCTATTCAATCCTGCTGGATTAAATTTCCAACAATTCTCGTTCTAGTAAATAATCCTGATAATGTTTGACTGTGTGGATTTGTTTTTTCAAAGTCTTCTGTAGAAAAGGCTGGATTTATACCTTGGTAAGGTTCTAAGAGCTCTGAATCACAGTGAATTTGAATCAGAATGAGAAATATAGCAGAAGCTGAGTTTGAGATTTTTTCACATCACCTATTTTTAGTTTTGGGGGGAAAAAACCCCCCCAAAAAGATAATTCAAAGTAATTCTTTCACTCCGCTATAGTCACAGTTTGGCTGTTTCTAATTTTGGAAGTCAGATTTTATTTGCTAAAATATGAACTTTAGTAATTAGCCTTACTTGTCATCAGGAAAGAACCATATACATGTATTTTTCATATTCATATGTACAGACAGCATTACTTAATGTGAAAATAAAATCATACATAACTTATTTAATAATAGAGATAATGTTCTCAAACAATAGAAACCTTACTTTATTTTGAGTTTAAAAAAATGTTCTCTTAATTAAGTTATGAAAGTGATGTAAAATGTATACCCTGTATGTATGCATCTGCAGTCTGTGAATTTGCATTTGGGGTGAAACTGTTAAATGCAATGACTACTACAGGAGTATATATTAAGAATTCAATGTGAATGTCACATTTAAGGCCAAAGTAGCAGGATGGAAGACAGTTGATTTGATAAATATTTCCATTTCGGTGACTTGGAACCTAAATTTGAAAGGAATTTTGAATTTGTAAGTCAAAGTTTAATGAATAGGCCTGTTTTATGTTTACATACAGGGTTCCAATGTGCATGACTATATTGACGCAGGAAATGCTTTTACCAGATTGGAAAATGTTTTAAATAAAACATGTACATATTCAGTATGAAATCTACAACAATTAGAGCTGTCAGATCCATCTTTTCCTTGACACATATCAATTCATGTTGGGAAAACACGTGCTGCCCTTCTGTACAAGGCAATAAAAGCGCTGATATCTAATTGCAAGTACAAGCAATTCAAGGACAAATGTGTAAAAGTGAAGCAATCAGCGGGATTATTCGGTGATTTTATTCCACATTTAGAATGTTGCATCAGAATTGCTCATGTAGACTGGAATTTTGAATGTTGAGTTTCCTTCTGAGCGAACGAGTAGAAAAAAAATGTGAATGGGTGTAAAAATTGTGGGGGCAAACCAATAATTGATAAAAAAGATTCTCATTTTGATTTCAAGACCGACCAGACTTGCACACAACTGTTTTCAGCTGGTATGAAGGAATCAAATGCCAAACTAATCAGTCCAGATGCATCGATTCATTTGTACCACCTTGAACGTATTTGTGCAGAAGTCTAATGCTGATAGCGTGTGAGCTCAAATGGCAGAAATTTACAAGAATTGTGATAATGGCAAAATCAGATTGCAAAATTTAGGCAGAAATCGCCACGCTGTGACTATTGCACTACTTTTTAATTTTTTTTCCCTTCTTTTTATTACTTTGGCGCATGCGCAATTCTGAGAGTGAAATAAACACAAATGCAATTTGATTCGTACCAAAAGATCGCTGTAGCTTAATGTATCATAGCTGCTTGTGCTGGATACAAAACATAATCTTTTAATGAACACAATGGCTTTTAACTTCCATGATGCTTTGCCAGGTTTAGCCTGTTAGTTTTAATTGGACAGCGGATGTTAGACCTATGGATAGCCTGTCCGGACATCTAGTTAAAGCCCCTTTCTCACGCTCCCACAATGCTGCTTTGTGCCAATACTCGATGTAAGAAAAGCAGGGATCTAAAGAGCAGAGGTTGCTTTAGTAGAGCATTCTTCTTGGCTGAATTCAATTAATTGTAAATGGAGCAGTCCCTGCGTGGCCCACCTGAGCCCACATGAAAGCACGGTAGAAAACCGCACAAACTAGTTTCTCTACTTTTCCTGTTATTATCCTGAAATAAAAGGCCCCGATTGTTGCACAAGAGGAAACGTAGTACAATAAAAAAAAAAACCATAGAATGATTTTCTATACGTACTGTAGCTAGCCGACGTTAAGAGAAATATTAACCGTTTGAATGCCGTTGTCCACACGTGACCTACAAACCGGACTGTGTTTTTAGATTTAGAAAACGCAAACTTATTTAGCAGCGTTATATGAGACATAATAGAAATTTAAAAAAAAACATTTTTTTATTATAAATCACACCCATTATTTTAGTTTTAATGGCAGAAAAGAGAAACATTTATGACAATGATTGACAGTGTGCCTGTCCATCCAAACGGAAATGCCCAGTTCCATATTCAGTGTAATCAACACAGTGTGGATTTATATATTTTTCATTTTCAGACCTCACAAAATATGTGTGAAATACAGGGGATTCGTAAACCTAATATATGTAAAATTCTGGGGAGTGACAGATCGCCTTTAAATATGAATATATTAAATGAATTTCTCTGATCCAAAAGAGTTGCAAAGTGGTTGTTTTCTCTAAGATTAGAGGGAAACAAATTAAAAAACTACGACTGCAGTAGTTCCCATGAAATGTATTCAGAGAGGTGACAGGTGGATAATACATGTTTGCCAGAGGATTTCTTTTAGCTTTGTAGAATCTCTTTGCACTGGGAAGTATATGCCTTTGAAATCTGTAGTACTGGCAATCATGTTATTTGCTAAAGTTAGAATTCAAGGTGAATTTAAAATTTAAAGGACCAGTATAGGCACCCAGACCACTTCAGCTGAATGAAGTGGTCTGGGTGCCAGGTCCCTCTATTTTAACCCTGCAGCTGAAAACACAGCAGTTTCAGAGAAACTGCTATGTTTACATTGAGGGTTAATCCAGCCACTAGAGGCACTTACGCGATCCTCAATTCAAAAATTGCATTGAGCATGCAGAATGTCCATAGGGAAGCTTTAAGTAATGCTTTCCTATGGGCGGTTTGAATGCACGCGCGGCTCTGGCCGTTTATGCGCATTTTGGCTCCACTCGGGAGCTGACGTCGGCAGGGGAGGAGAGGTCACCAGCGCCGAGGGAGCCCGGTGCGGGATTAATGTAAGTGGCTGAAGGGGTTTTAACCCAGCAGGAGGGGGGGACACAAGGGAAGGGGAGACCTAATAACCCCATACTGCCAGGAAAACAAGTTTGTTTTCCTGGCACTATAGTGTTCCTTTAAGGTCAAAGTAGCCTATCTGGAAAAGTCCTTTTGGTCA